TTAAATAAATTGAGTGTACTTACTGAACAGAAACCAGTATAGTTCGTTTTAAATAAATTGAGTGTACTTATTGAACAGAAACCAGTGTGTCTCCACAGCCTAAAATAGTGCCTGGCACCCCAGCAATTCTTAAATAAATTGAGTGTACTTATCGAACAGAAACCAGTATAGTTCGTTTTAAATCTTAATCTGTCGCCTGCAGTAGTTTTTTTTACTGCTTAAGTGGATACGTTTTATTTATTTATCATAAGATAACTTTCTGTTTCAGAAATAGAGTTAAGTAAGAATTTTTTGGTTGAGGTAAGGCCTGTGAGGATAGAAACATTGATGGAATATAGTTTCTTGTATCATTTTAGAAAATCCTTAATGTGTGTTAATTTTCTATAGCTAATCAAGTACTTACATTGAGTATATGAAACTATTGGATGTATTTCAAAAGATGGGTAGATTTTTGTCTTTTATTTTTGTTTTTAATACCTTATTGCTTTGGGGGGCCCTTTGAACACAATTTGATAAAAATACCCTTTATTTACCAGTAGGTGGCACTCTTGGTCATGGTTACTGGCATTCAAAAACCAGATTTTAGAATTTTAAAGAGAACAGCTTTTTAAAATTAACATTTCTTTCTTTTCTTTTTTTAAAGATTTTGTTTATTTATTTGAGAGAGAGCGCATGCACCGCCCGCACGGCAGGGAGGGGCAGAAGGAGAGAAGCAGACTCCCTGCTGAGCAGGGAGCCCAATGCAGGACTTGATCCCAGGACCCTGGGATCATGACCTGAGCCGAAGGCAAATGCTTAACCAACTGAGCCACCCAGATGCCCCAGCACTTCTTTATTTTCAAGTTCAGTTGAGCAGTAGACCCTTTAAACAGCATAATCACCAAAAAGTCTATCTTATTTGAGGACAATTTTTTTTAGCCATGGTTGTCTAAAACACTGAGCAGAACAGTGTTACCATATTAACTATATATGAGTTCAATTTTGTCAGGGAACTTGGCCTTAAGTGACATGTAACTATATCATTCTAGCCATTGGTCTGGTCTTTTTTTTTTTTTTTAAGATTTCATTTGAGAGAGAGAGAGCGAGAGCAGGAGCAGAGGGGATGGGCAGAGGGAGAAACAGACTCCCTGCTGAGCAGGGAGCCCGACATGGGGCTCGATCCCAGGACCCCAGGATCATGACCTGAGCAAAAGGCAGACACTTAACCAACTAAGCCACCCAGGTGCCCCTGCTCTGGTCTTTCATGGGGTGGGCATCATAAGGAACAAGAGTTAAAGACAGGCCAAGGAAGCTGAAAAAGGGAAGCAGTAAGAGAAACAATCAGAAGGGACAAGTGGAAACACAAGGGGGAAGAATTGATGGGAAGGAGGTAGTGAAGAGTAGACTTGCTGTGAGGTGATGCTTGCTGATTATAATGAGCCTTTCCTTTTACAGCCGAGAGTGCCTTTTCACTGTTTCCCAGAACATGGTTCTTACATGTCGTCTCTGCCATTGCAGGAACTTCGTGAGAATTTCAGTATATGGAAACACTGCCCTTGTTCCAACCGGTGTCTATCCAAAGGTCTCACTATAATACCAGGACCAAGGTATTGCATGTCAGTCAGTCAGCCAGCCACATACTTAATGACTCCTAAAATCTCATGGACTTCTAAAGTAAGTTTTGCCTTCCTTCTTTCAACAACGAATGCACCATTTTTGGTTTAGTACATTTAAAGGAGAGAAACAACATTTAGTAGTCATACATGAGGTGAAAGGTCTCATGTTTTTTTCATTTACTAGAGAGAAAAATGGTGAGCAGCGTGTTTACCCACAATGGTGCTACGACATACTATGATAGGAAATAGATCTCTTAGTTAGAAAGCAGTGCTTTTTGATATGACTTGGTTATAACTGACTTTATCATCACTTGATTATTTACTTTTATTTGTTTTCTGTCTCTATCTTCTAAAACGTTAGCTCCCTAAGAAGGTCTTTGTTTCGTTTATGTCTGTATCCCCAGTATCTGCAACATAATGGACTCTTAATAAATATTTGTCAGATGAAGGACTAAATGAACAAATATGGAGTAGGAATGTAAGCACAATTAGCTTGAATTTTTCTAATATGAAATTTCTTAACCAACTGAGCCACCCAGGCGCCCTCTAACATGAAATTTCTTACAATTAATTTATATAGTTCCTTCCAAAGAGTTCAGAAAAAAGGGTATGTACATACATTTTCATTTATTCTCTAACTAATATAGGACAGCTATATATGGCAATGTAATGTGTTAAATGTGACCATCTGAGAGAAATAGTCAAAAATTGGCAGAAGATAACAGAATGGTAGGAATCAAAAAAATGTATCATCTGACTCAACGTCAGTGCTTTTTTTTGATAAGCCTATAGGTTTTAGAATTTAAATGTCGGGTAATCTTTCTGGTTTTTCTTTTTTCTTTTTTTTAACGTTTTATTGAAACAGAAGTATATAAATCCTTGGAGGACAGCTTGATTAATTTTTTTAAGACTTAATTTTTTTTTTTTTTTTTAGAGCATTTCTAAGTTTACAGCGAAATTGAGGGGTATGTACAGAGATTTTTCCATGTATTCCCTGCCTCCACACAAGGGTAGCTTCCCCATTATTGGTGTCCCCCACCAGAGTGGTACATCTGTTACGGCTGATGAGCTGCACTGACACATCATAATCCCCCGGAATCTGTAGTTTACTTCCCTCTTAGCGTGGAGTGTTCTGTGGATTTAGACAAATGTATAATGACATGTATCTATCACTGTCACTATGGTATCATGCAGAGTATCTTTAATACCCTAAAAATCTTCTGTGGTTCGATGAATTTTTACAAAATAGAAATACCCATGCAGTCAGCATTCAGATGAAGAAACAGCATTGCCGCTGTTACCTCCCCGAGGGTAACTGCTAACTTGATTTCTGACTTGGGAGATTAAGTTAGTCTGTTTTTATACTTTTTATGACTGGACTCATACAATATATGCTTTTTTTGAGTCTGGCTTTCACTCAGTGTGATATTAGTGATGCTCATCTGTGTGACTGCACGCAGTTGCCATTGGTTTATTCACATGGCCGTGAACCTCGGACAGTTTGCTGCTTGCGCTTTATCTAGCAAGAAATACTAAAGACTTACATGGTGCTCTTTGAGTGGAATACAATTATTAGGCAGTTATAAAATCTCTCCTCTCCTCTAATAGTGTAAGATCAGTCACATGAGCTTGGTTAGTGATTTTGGAAACTAACAGAGGGTAAGGATATTTGATGGCACCACTAAGTACGTAGGTATGTACTTTGGGGGTCGGGTGAGTCAGCTCTAAATAGTGGCAGAAATTTTGTCAGGGTGGAGTTAGACCTTTTAATTGCTTTGTTTGTTTTGTTAGAGCAGCTCACATGGCTACCAACAAAAATCCAAACTGTTCTTCATTGGCCCCTGAAATCGTCTGATATTTCCCTGCCTTTTCTTAAAGTATTTTAACTTCAGTTTTATGTTTGCGCAGGAGGCACCATGGTCTGTGCTGCTGTCGCGGTCCCTGGGCTGTTGCGAAGCTCTGCTGGGACCGTCCGCACCCCGGCTGCCTCACTGAGGCTGACAGCCAGTGCTTTGCGCCACCTGACTCTAGCAAGGTGGGTTTCTGGCCCTCAGTGTCATTTGAGGGGATTCATAGACCTGACCTGCTGATGGGCGTGGGAGGCTCATCAGACTCCTGAAGGCATATCAGAACATCTTGCCTAAATAGGCATGCCATCCGGAGACTGTTAAACTTGAGTTAGATGTGCAGATTTTCACTGACCACTTCCTAGGCTCCGTAATGTTAGAGTGTACTATGAATAGTCATGATATTATAGGGGAAACTATTTTTATGAGGATAATACATAATAATCTAAAATTTTGCTTTCTATTAAAGCATAATGAAATCCAAAAGGAAAACTGATCACTTGGAGAGAACTGCCAATGTCGTTCGTCGGGAGGTTTGTATCTTTGGGCTGTGGCAAGCTTTTCTAGGCTGGACAGTGTACACAGTAATGACCGGCTCATGGAGAAGGCCACAGATGAGCTCGATCCCTTTGAAGGACAATCCGGGGAAGTTTGTTATTTTTTTGTTTAGAACTTTTCGGATAGGACTTTGAAAAGATGACAGCAAAATACTCACATTTTTCCTTTAAAACAGAATAAATGGATTAATTTTTTTTTTTAAGATTTTATTTATTTGACAGAGAGACAGCGAGAGAGGGAACACAAGCAGGGGGAGTGAGAGAGGGAGAAGCAGG